CATCCTTTCCTCGCCCCCCCCCACACACACATACAAACACACACACAGACACCTCCAACCACACCCCCCAACACAATATAAAAGACTAAGAATTTATTTCTGAGTTATTATGCAATCACTTCTATATACAATACATAAACACAACTCATGATCAAGTATTTTTTGTAATAAAATTAAAATACATTATAATAGGTGTTTGACTTTTAGTGTATGATTTGTTTTTTTCTGGTTCTAAGATGGCAACTCCCCCCTCCCACAAGGGGAGGGACTTCTGGTGGCAAAAGTCAGGGGCTATCCAGTCCTAAGATAGTGGCCAGGGGTAGGGCACCTATCAAGAGGTGGTCTACCCATGCAGCCCTCAACAGCTCACCAAAATTCATTAAGCGACACTCTGCCTGAAATAATTGCCCGCCCCAATACAAGAACATGCCTTGGTCTGGTTAACGACTGAGAGAGATGCCTGAAAACAATAGGAGGTATTGTTCTGTAGAAAAGACGAAATTGTCAAGCATTCATATATATACCAGTCTCCATCACTTACAGCATTAAATGGTTAATAATACTTTTTCAATTAATGCTTTTGCCATCATGTTTCCACACACAAGCTATTATATGACACAGGCTCTAGCTTATTTGCTTTGCAGCTATTTCTAATGTTTTCTAAGATAAAACAATAAATCTTTGGCTGTACTTGGAGCTATACTTCAAGGCAGAAAGAATAACTTTTGAGGTTTTGGTGTCGAAGAACCCCAGCATAGCTCTCAACCTTACAAGGCTAAATGGGGGAGCTAAGATTACAAGAAATCCACATTTTTTTCTGGGTGTGTCTACATGTGCATTAATGCACATTAAATCTAGTTACCTCCATTGTGAGGTATTCAGGCTAATGAGCCTTACCCTGGCTTAATGCATACTAACTAAAGCATTAATGCACATTATGTAAAAAGCATGTTTTTTACATGATGCTTTAATGGGCATTAAAATAGGCTAATGCACATTAGAGTGCATGTGTAGACATACCGTGTACAACATCTGTTGTAAACTTTAGTTTTGTAAGTCAGTATTTGTGATCTAAATAAGGTACAGTAATAAAAAGAGACATTCAGCAGTTTCAGCAAGCAGAGGTAAATTTAGATTTAAAATAAGGGACACCCCCTGTAAAGAAGGTCAGCTGAAAAGCATGGTCCCTTGGCATGGTCAATAAGGCAATCAGAAACCACCCCCTCAGAAATCAAACTAGAATTCCAGGTAGAAAAGAGTACAAGCACTCCAAAACGTTGAGCACACATGCTTGCTGAGTATAAAATCAACTGGGGAGGAGAGGAAGGGAAATTAAAGCTGACACATGGTTAAGGCAAAGTGAGAATGCAAGTGCTTCAGAATATTCCTGACAAGCAAGTAGAAGGTAATCAGTACTTGTAATCAGAATATGGGAGTGAAGTAAATAGACACTGGATTGACATTGCATTTTGGATCTTTCCAAGGCCCTGAGCTTAGCCTTCTATACCCTTAAGATCTACAAGCAGCTTGTTTTGTCATTAGGTTCAAACCAGGATGTAGTCAACTTGTAGAAATCAAACAAAAGAATAAAAAATGAATCCTAATATAGCAGTTTTTGAGACCCTTAAATAGTTTCTGCCTGATTTTTGTAGTGCTCAGTATACACAGATCCTATGGAAATTAATGGCAGCAGGAGGTGCCATTTGAAGAATAATGGCACTTAGCTGTTGTAGATGACACTACCTTTTCTTTTTAGTGTTGGCATTTGTATAGTGTGCAGCCAACAAAATAAAACTAGTGAATGTTCAATTCATTCATTGTGATAAGGTGACAACACAGAAAAATAACTTCAGGAAAGTGGGGAATAAGAGGTTTCCTATCTTAACAAGTCAAGAACTGTTAGATGCATTCTGACATATACTGTCGAAGTCTTCCAACTGGCTGGTTCCTACAACTCTGTAAAAACTAAAAGCAAATAGAAGGTGAACACAAGAACTGGGTACAATATAGAAAACTGCATTACAGAGGTCAGTGGAGCAGATGAACATTCAGGAGTGGGATGCCACAGTTTGGCTAGTCACATTTAATCAAAAGTGACAAATAAAGCAGTCATGTATGTAGTAAAAAATTACAGTTATTGGAGAGAGAAAGGACTTTTTTTTTAAACTGTCACTGGAATGGCAGAGGCTTCTGATTTTATCTGATGGTCATGCCTTGTACTCCAACTGGCAAGCAAACAAAATGAAATAACTGAAATGTAGTTTCTGGCTAAAACACAGTGCAGTGCTTTGCACTTAATTTTTTCACAAGGCTTTTCATCTCAAAGGATCCCAGTGACCCTTGGAAACAGGATTCACTTCACCCACCACTGAAGTGCTGCCACCTCCAAGATGGAATGTAACAGCTGCTTAGCAGTGCGCAGCAACATTACATGAAGGTTAATAAAGGCACCGTGGAGGAATATAGTATCCTGTTAATACTGAAGCAGACTGGCAAGGCAGAATTACTACTTGATACAGTAAGCACAGCAGCTTTATGCTTGGTTTTATCAAATGAGACCTAGATTTCCTGGTTACTGGAATATAACTAGAAGAGGCTGGCCCTGTAATGCAGATCCCAACCTAACTTTCTGTAGGTCCTTCACTGTCATTAGTCCAGTGCCTGCCCGTATAGATATATAAGGACATACTTGGGCTGACCACAGTCTTGGTGGCCCAGTGCTAGGGCTCCCTATTCTACGGGCTGTCCATGTGCTACTGTCCATCCAGTTATGCTAACCTTAGCAAAGGTGGCACTCACCTAGAAAAGCTTCTCATAGCACTTATCACAGTGGACAATGTCACGATGAATGAATATTTTGTCCAGGAGGTCTCCCATTGCCTTATGGCAAATTCCACACTGTGAAAACAAACACAGGCAGTTGGACAGGAGACAAAGCTCTATTTAGAAGAATACATATGAAGAGGATAGAGAAATAAGTTGTAGTCTCTACATTTTAATGGTGGTGACACATGCCAACTTGAAAGCCCTGAAGCCTAAACTCTTCTACTTCTATGAGATGCAGCACAAGTCACGTTAGTTCAGGTTTTCCCCGCAGACCTGGAATTTCACCACACTGATTTATAAGCATAAGAGAAGTAGAAGAGAAGCTCTGTAAAACTTAAGAGGTGCTGAGTAGTTTGTGCAGTGGGATGGAGTTTGCCAAAAGGCAGTTCTAGTATGTGGACTGCAACAGGTAGGGGGAGAATTCATCATGAAAATGACAGCATTCAATCCAAATGATAACACAAGAATATGTTTTGTCTATCATAAGGTCATCCAGAGATCAGAAGGTATACTTGTGGATACCGTCAAAACCTGTGGGAATGTGAGCTCCTAGTCAACGGTGGACCCAGATCTCTTCACCCAAATGGAATACAGCATACTTTTACTTTGAAAGCTTCTAAGCAAATGCCCCAAGATTATGTCTTCATCCATGAGTCCCCTGCAGTTACTTTACACACTACAAAGTGGAGAATGACTGGAAGGAATAAGGTCCCTTACCCTAAAACAGTATTCATGACAGCAAATGTTGAGATGCTCAATCGTTATCTTAGGGCAGTCTCGGATCTCACGGCCACAGTAAGTGCAGATTCTATCAACTGCCCTGTGGAAATGGAGAAAAATGTACTCGTGAATCACCTTACTATGATGCCTCCATACCATAAGCAGTAGCAAACCATTTCTTCTGGCTGTCTACCTCTGCAGTATGAAAGTGGATGTATATCTAGATATCAACTAGCTGTGCCAAGGGACAGTACAGAAGGTAAAGGTGGCATTCCATGATTGCTAGAGTTCAAAGTTACTTCCAAAGCTGCATGGCAATGGGAAACACTGTTTCAATATTATCTCCATGCCATTATGGTCAATGCTTTTTATTCTCTGACCAGTCTAACATTTTTAAAGGGAAGCCAAGGAAAAATACAAGATTCATTTGAACACCTACAGATATTACAAAAATTACAGAAAGAGCATGTACAATAAAGTCATAAAGAATACTTCTGTATATCGGTCTACTGAAACCATCCTGGTATAATTCATTGTCTTACCTTTGTGGGGCACCACTGTGTAGGTAGCAGGTGTTACTGTACCTTGCTCTCTCTTTGTCAGTCAAATCAACTAAGCTGCCACTGAAGAAGAGAGGAAGAGAAATACCATTGCTTGACAATGTTGTGTACAAGGAATGGTCCAAATGGTTAAATGAGCAGTGCAGGGCTTCCCCAAATTCTGACTGGGGATGCCCTGCACTGTACTGATTTGAGATTTTCCAGCTGCCTGCTCTTTTAAAGAGGGCTGTTCATTGCCAACTAAAAATCAAAAGGCCTTTCCATAAAAGTAAGCAATGTGCTGGTTAGAGCCAGTGAACTTTTAAAGGAGAGTGAATCTTCTCTTTAGCTAGAGAAAAATACTGCATAGGGAACAACAGGAAGCTCCTCCAACCCATACCCTGCCATCGGTGGTGCTCACATTCTGACCCAAAGCTCCACTCGGTGGTAACAAAAGATAATTTGGGCTCCACTCAGGCATTGACTATATTACAAAGTTCTGCCTGCATAGGTTTGTTGAAAAGCTGACAAAACTAAGCTGGCGAACCCCCTGGTGTGGACACAGCCCAGCTGAAAGATGATGGTTTTTGCCGGAAAGGCTTCTGCCATTTGAGGTACTTTGTGGCTGTCTATTGACAGAAAAACTGCTAGCAGAACTGTCTTCAGAAGCAGGTTCTACTACTGTAGTTCTGCAACAACAGTTACAATGGCAGGATCTGCTTTGTGTAGATTAAACCTCAGTATTGCACCAGTGGAGCTAAATATACTAGTGAGAATGCTAATCATAGAATCATGGAAAAGTAGGACTGGAAGGGACCTCAGGAGGTCATCTTGTCCAGTCCCAGGCACAAGGCAGGGACATCCCTATTCAAACATCCTAGCTTGTCTAACCTATTCCTAGAACTACACAAACAGCCTTGTTGCACAACTACAAGGCACATAACACAAAGACACAAAGAATAATCTAACCTGCCACAAGGAAAGCAGTGGGATGAGGACACTGTCAACCTTCCGCCACTGCAAGGGTTGTTAAATACTCTTGAGAAATCCAATCATGGCATATGATATTATGACCTGAACATCTATGAACTGGACCAAAACCACCATCTTATTTTATACTGATCACCATGCAGAAGCAGTCTCAGCTCTCATGAACTAAGGGGCACAACTCTTTATGCCAGTTAGGCCAAGATGTTATACATGTCCTATAAACCATTTTAGGATATCATTGTTATTTTTATTCTATATAATTTAAAGGGCCTAAGACACTTTCCACACAAATAAGAGACATACATCTCTGCCTCAATGCTTACCATTCGTTGAATAGATCAGGCATTTCCTAACACTTCAGCTGCCTACTGTCCTTGAAAACTTTCCTGTTAGAAATGCTGTGGTCCCCTAAGTAAATATCTGTGTTATTTCCAAAAATAGCATTGCATCTCTTTGAGGGCATGTCACTGCAGCAGCTTTATGCATCCAGGCTCCTAAACATTCCCCCTGTCCATCTGCTACTGCCCACATGCTCCAAACCTGGAAATGCACCAGTGAGGCTACTCTTAGGACCCACCTTTAGTGTGCCTGAGGGCATCTCTGGGGACCACCTTGAAGTAGCTGCATTAGTGTATTTCTGGGCTTGGAACATGCAAGTGGGATTGGATGGATAGAGAGCATTAGGGATGTAATAACTGTCTTAGTGGCAGCATGGTGTGAGCATGTCAGCACAGAGCACTGCTTTTGACATCAGACAAGCTAGAGGTTGATAACTAGACTCCTCAGCCACAGCAGTGTTACAAGTTGAATGAAGACAAAATCACAGCAGGCAGGCATCTTAACAGGGTGTTAATTGTTTTTTTGGCTCTACTAAGTCTAGGTTAACTGAACAAAACTTAACACATGTGGACAGTTTAGGCTTTAAAAAAGCCAGTTTTACTCTCGAGTAAAAACCCACAAATACCTCCAGTTTTCTCACTGAATTCAACAATTTTTGCAAGTATGCAATGAAATGCAGAGGCTTGGGAATTTCAGTGTGACCCTTTCAGAGATTACCCTGGTGGAATGACCCAATTTGTTCATCACCCTGCTGAGGAGTTAACCAACGGCACCTCATACCTCGTGTAGCGTGGAGAGGATGAAAACTCACTGCTGTTCACATACTCCTTCACAAAGAGGATCCCTTTGCTAGAGAAAGAGGGAAACATCTGTATCAATGGAGACATGAACTAAGCACTGTGAAAGTACAAATGTATGTTCAGGTTGATGTGTATGTGGTGCACATGCATGCATATACACATGTACCAGGGGTATGTGAAGCAGGCCCTATTCAACTTGGGTTCAGACCAAATCAGGGACAGTGATTTGATTCATTAATTCAGATCACTGTCCTTAATTTGATTCAGCCGAATCCAGATCTGAAGATTCGATGCTGATTTGGAGAATCAGCAATTTGGACACAGACACAGATTTGAATGTTTTTGGTACATATCTCTAGGTACCAGCATGGCTTGTGAACACTGCGATGGTGGGGTGGATGGAG